GATCTATTATTTTTCTAGATAAGTTTTTGTTCCTTATACAGTATATTAATAACAGACTGCAAAACGTAATTACGTCTGTCATAATGTGAACAAATATATATTGTTATTTCATTAATTAACAGTTATTCATCACGTTTGTCTTGTTATCTCTTTGCAATGCTTACTTTAATTTATCGGAGTGAAATGATTTCTTTAAATATGGAAACGGTAAGTCACACAGAAACAATATATTTATTTCATAATTCATATGTAACAATCTCTTGTAACATGTACAAGATGCCTTTATATATGTTATATCTAGTGTGTATTATAAAATCTAATTGGATGTGTAATTATTTGTGCAGGATCACAGTAAATACTTAAACAATAGAAAATAATTCATATATTATTTATATATTAAAAGTTATGTATATAGTTTCTTATATTATTTATCTTTGATTACTTATTTATATTTAAAATCTTCATACAGAATCATTTCTTTACATCAAATAACAATTAATATTCTTACTACATTATAGCAAAATCTATAAATAATTTAATTGTACAGTTTACCACATACATTTCAATTTACAAGCGTTTGTTAATAGCATCAAAACTTTGTTTTAAATTATTGAATAATAAAAAAAAAGAATAAAAATCTAACATCTAAGACACATTGTATGAATACAAGTTGTTCGGTAAAAAAGCTCTTTAACAAAACTTAAAAAATAGTGATAAAAAATAATTAAAAATGACATTATTATAACGATTACCAATGATTAATTCAAATATCTTGTGTAGCTTTAACTTCCTTGCCGACTACATCTAAAGCCATTTTACCCTTTCTTGATGTTTCGGTAATTTGCACATACCTGGTGGTATCTATATTATTTAAAGATAATCGTTCCAACAACTGTAACTCAGACGGTTCTAATTTTTCTCCAAGTTGCCTCAAAGCACTTAATATTTCTCCTCGTTGGCGATCGGCGGCTTCTTTGTTCAGTTTTCCTAATTTTACATCTCGATCGATTTGCGAGAGACGTTCCTTGAGTCCAGTAGGTTCCCGCTTACCAAACATTCTTATCACGGCTGGTGTTTGAAAGGCGGCACTGATGGCTGCTTGAGTTGCCTATTAAGAATTTACAGTCGAGTAGAAACGTATACTAGAATGTATCACATTACTATAATTTGTTAAGAAAAATATATAAGATATACCAATTGCATTGCTCCAAGTTCATCAACTAAAGTCATATTTCCGGATATCATTCTTTGTAAGCTCTCATTAAACTCACGGAGTTGTTCCATAGTATCTTCCTTACATTCCTGATAATCTGTCTCGTCTAGAGTTTCGTTAATTCTGTTAACGAAATAACAAAGAAAACAAAAATAAATATGTAAATGTAATATTTTTGAAATGAATTAGAACGAAACGAAACCTGCAATCTTCCAAATCTTCTAACTGCTGCACGAGCCGATCCAATTGTTCTTCCAAATTCTTCCTGAGTCTGTCAGTTTCTGCTTTTCCGTGAGAACTCATTTTGCAATCAAGCGAAAACGGGAAAGGAAAAAATGTATGTAACGATGAAAAGATAATATATAGGTTAGGATTAGGTTAAAAAATGCCGAAATGTAATTCTTTGATTATTAAACAATATATATATATACATATAAATATTAATCTGTTAAAAAAAGAAACAAAATTCCTTCATTCGCTATTTATTTACAATACTTCGCAATGTTGCAGAATATAAAAATTGTATACTGGAAAGTTTACATTAAAGCAGGAAAGCAGAATTTGTCAGAATTTCACATTTATAAAACTAGTGAACCAATCAAAAGATGTACTGGTAGCAAAAAGATGCCTATTAGTGGCTGTATTCTGTAGATTTGTTTTTTTTTTGTGGTACATTTTGAAACTTAAAGTGAAATAAGTAAATATGTTAAATATTTGGCGAGAGCGAGAGCGAGAGTTCCAGTGCAGATTAAAAATAAGAAAGAGACCTATTAATTTAATTTTGGGAGCTTTCCAGCAGAGGCATAAATCGACACAAGAATCATTCCGTTTTGTTTCGCACTGATTATTGAAGGACAGAATGAGACAGAACTCTTATGTTAATTTGTGTCTCTTGCTGGAAAGCTTCTTTTATTATAAATCCGTCTATAAATACTTACTATGATCAGTATTTATAATCAATTTTTACATTTAAGACTATTTTAAAATATCATGAACCATTAAAGATTGATATTCATAGTCCATTTTTATCTTAAAATCGTCTTAATTAAGTAATATCTTAAAATGTCAACACAGCTTTCTGATTGGCTTATGACACCTTAAGATCATCCCTGGATGATCTAATATATCAATATAATATTATGGGTTTCCCAAATATTTTTGTATGCAATACTTTTCGAGAATAAAATTTATTGTCATCTGTGTCTCTTGCTGGAAAATATCCATATCAATTCTATTCAATTCTACAGATTAGCTTTTTTGTCCAGTTTGAAGACGTTGATTGGATCTGGCATGCGTTAGGTTCGAATGAATAGGTCTGTTCGCGTTGCTTGCACTTTTGGCATTCGACATCTCTTTTCTTTTCAAGACAAAATAATGTATCTTATTTTAATTTCATACAACAGATCTAATTGACCAGTACGTTCGTGTTGCGTGGATCAGTTGAAATCTGTTCATGTTGCTTGCACATTTTACACTAAACATCTTCGCTTTTTTTCTCTTCCTCTTCGACGCGCGAATATAATTTATCTCATTTTAAATGCAAAAATTTTGAAGATTTCAAGCAACGCGAACAAACCAAGGGGTCGATTGTGTATCTTCAAATGAAGTGAAAATTACAAAAGGGAGCAAATTCACTAGAGTATTCATAATTTAATTGATCACCTAATAATTTGCTCATTTTTGTAATTTTCATCTCCTTTCAAAATCCACAATCAATTCACCGAAAGTGAAAAGAGGAAATTTTTACTATTAAAGTTAATGGAGAAAATTTTCACTTTTCATTTTTTATCCTAAAAGTTTCATGATTGATATCCTGGAGGTCGATTCTGTATTTTCAAACAAGGTGAAATTTCAAAAGTGAGCAAATTTACTAGATGTTAACCAATGAAATAATCAGTATTCTAGTAAATTCGCTCACTTTTGTAATTTTCATTTCGTTTCAAGATACAGGGGATCGATTCTGTATCTTGAAATAAGGTGAAAATTACAAAAGTGAGCGAATTTACTAGAATACTGATTATTTCATTGGTCAACACCTAGTAAATTTGTTCGCTTTTGTAATATTTATCTTGGGGTCGATTGTGTATTTTCACATGAGATGAAAATTACAAAAGTGAACAAATTCATTAGAGTATTCATAATTTAATTGGTCAATATTTAATAACCTTTGATCATTTTTGTAATTTTCACCTCCTTTCAAAATCCATAATCGATCCTCTTGTTTAAAAATACAGAATCGACCCCCTGGAGATCGATTGTATATCTTGAAATGAGGTAAAAATTACAAAAGCAAATTCACTAGAATATTAATAATTTAATTGGCCAATACCTAATAATCATTGCTCACTCTTATAATTTTCATCTCATTTCAAAATACAAGCCCCTGATCTTTGGTCAACAAAAGAAAATGAAAAAAAAGCAAATTCTCTAGGGAGGCGAGATTCACCAACATTCACCATCTCCTAGGGTCAGCATCGATGGCGGAAACGTCGAATGCTCGGAAGCGTGGTCATTCCCCTACGTCATTACGAACGTCGCGTCTGGTAAAGTCTGATACGCGACTCGAGTCGCGACGTCGCGTCGGACAGGCAGTATCAGTAGGATCGAGTGAACGATCGAGTACGCGTGGTAACGGCATTACAGACTACAGTCTGAGTCTCGTGATTCGTGACGGCGTGGTCGCGTATTGGTATATACAATAAAACGTTGCTCTGTTCCTCATTGACTTAGCCGGCGAACGGTTGATTATGCGAAGAGAGATCGCGTTTAAGCGAAACGTTCCTCTCTCTGGTACTGTTTGGTGTGCGGACGATCGAGCGGAGATCGCGGGATTACCGCGAAAAACGAACGATCGTCGCGCGGCGGGATATATCGCGGACGCCCGATATACGGTGGACAGAAGTGCGCGACGGGAACACATAGGAGAATCAAGCGTGCGGTTCTTTTTCCCCTGTTGTGCACGCGCGAAATCGTATTTATCGAGTGAACTCGAGGGAGTGCGGGAGCGCGCGCGCGCGCTCTTGCTCGTGCTCGGTCCGATCGTTTCGATCGTTTCTGTGGGATCATTGCCGATCGCGTTGCCGTGGCACGATCCGGACGCGTGATCGTTCCCCGATCGCGGAATTATTTATCTTCCAAGGTCGGTGGGGATCCTGAAATCAGGCGAGTAAATCGGCGTGGAAACTGAAGCGGTACGTGGGCGAATAAAATAACGTACCTATGAGTGCGACTCGCGTGAGGTACCAGGTTTCTAAGGACAGTTCGCACGAGGAAGGTCCACGATTGCGATGAGCATGCCGACGAAAGGGAAACACCACCACCTGTCCCACCATCATCATCCGCAGCATCACTCGCAGCCGCAGCAACATCACCAGCCGCAGCAGCAACAGCCCCATCACACCCAGCAGCAACATCAGCATCAGATCATCCTGAACCAACCCGTCGTGCATTCCCCGCAGACCTACAGCGCTGTCGTTACCACCAACACTCGCTTCCTGAATGCCGGTAAGTCTTTTCTAAGTGATTCTGCGAGGATCGTGTCTGTCCGAGGGATACGATTTATTTGTAATTCGTATTTGCCTTGTCGGACGTGAGACATTTTCATATTATTTCGATATTAGTCGATGATGTGTACGAGAATGCCCTGGCGATCCTCGCTATGTCGCCCAATGATTCTACTCGTCGCGCATGCGATTCCACGGGGGAAAAAGTGTTATTTGAGGTTAGGACGACCACGCGGCATGTGGCACGTACGCCACGAGAAGAGAGCACGTTCTTCGTTTCTCTTTTTACGAACGATTCCTGTGGTCGATCCTGTACGTTCGAACGAGGTGAAAATTGAAAACGCAAATGTACTGGAATACACCTATTTATAATTGCACTGGCCTAGTAAATTTGCTTACCTTTGTAATTCTCACCTCGGTTCAAGGCATGGAATCGACCTCCTTTGTAGTTATTATAGATTTAATCGGAATTGTTCAATTATTATTATTTCTTAAATCTCTATTGTGTTTTTTTAGAAAAACGGAATAATTCCGAAAAATTCCCGTACCAATATTTTCGATTGTTCGATGTAAAGAAAGCTCGTTTGATATCCGGGTGAAACGAGAGGTCAGAAGTGGATGTACAGTTTTTATGATGAAAAATTCAAGATACGCAAATCGGCAAGTTAACTTCCTTTCTCGTAAAGCCGCGCTGAAAATCGACGTGTGTATGTATGCCAACGGAAAACGGATCTCTGGAGAATGAAAGTTTAAAAGAATGATTCGCAAAAGAAAAAAAAATAGTTATTTTTTTTCTCTTCCTTTCTCTCCCGCCTCCATTGAGTCCGATTACGAATGTTAGATCTGTTCTTTTTTAACCGAACTTCTTGTATCATTCATCTTTTTTTTTTGTGGAGAGAAAAAAGAAAAGAATTGAGTTGAAACAAGCAGACGTATTTCAGTTAGATTGCGGTACTGTTTGATCATTCGTGATGTTATTGTGCTTGTTATTCCTGGAACGAAGAATTGGATTTGATCGGCTAACGTGTTTGAATCCCCCGAGCTTAATTTCTATCTCCCGTCGATTTTTTTGTTTTTGTTTTTATGGTCCGCCGTCAGGCTTTTCTCTCTTTCGTGCTTCTATTCGAATAATAACTTCTTCGGGAAAGAAAAAGAGACAGATGAATATGTGAAGTTGTAAACATGATGAAAAGCACAGACAATAGAAACAATACAGAGAATAACACATTTATAAAAATATAATGTTTATTGAACTAAAGTGACCGTTTCAAATTATGAAAGACTGTCTCAAGTTTTAACAAGTTTGTCCCGTTTTATATGTTTAATTTTGTCCAAAATTAATTAAAGACATAATTATAAGTTGTCCTTCTTTTAAGTTTGAAATAATAAGTGAATAATGAAATAATAAATGTAAGATATAATTTTCTAGATAGACTAACATGATTTTTTTATTTAAAACCCCAGATATTTATAAAATATCTTAAATAGAAAAGTACAATTTAAAAAATTAAAATGTGATTTCGTGACTTGGTGTAATTTTTGTTATAATCTTATATAATGTTATACATTAAGTATTATTATATATAAATATAATAATATAATGTGTTTAATTAATAATTGAAAAATATTTATTTATTAAAATTAAAAATCTTATTGATATTGAATTTGTTCTTAAATGTTCTCCCTCCCCCTTCTCTCTCTTCCCTTTTTCTCCTCTTAAGGAATTGATTTAATATCTCTGCGGTGTTTTTTTTTATATATATAATTCTCACTATTGTTGATGTTAAAAGTTATATTGGGTTGTCTGGAAAGTTTGTGCCGATGTTGAAGGAAAATTGAAACGCAGAAATTTAAATTTTAGTATACATT